CTGTGCATACAAGTGAATGATTTTACATTTGTTTTTATCTTTAATCTTTTTAATGCGCTATGATTATTTATGATTATTTATGATTGTAATCCCTTGTGTGATTTTAATTTTTTACGGTTTTTAACTACTTGTGTGATTTTATATATCTTGTGCTCTTAATCTGTCTTTTTATGTTTACTTAAATTCTAATGTTTGATGATTTATGCATGATGTTATATGGGTTGTGAGGCGCTTTGCGTTGCCTTGTGTAGGAAAGGCGCTCTATAAATAAACGTTGATTGATTGATTGATTGATTGATTGATGTGTGGTTTATATTCAGAGCTGCCATTTGACTGTGATACTAGTCTATAAAGGCGCCTTGAGGCACCCATCTAAATGAATGAGAGGGGGAGGAGGAGGAGGAGGAGGAGGGTGGTAGACAGAAGTGATTTGCGGCCTGTGATATCAACTGCTTCGTTCCAAATAAATTATTAATTGAAAGAAATATTGCATCATATACATCATGACCTTTTTTTAATTGTAAAACTGTTAAGTGAAAATAAGCAATGTCTGGGAAGTCCACTGGTCTCGCCGCCTTTCATTTGGATCCAAATCTACGATCACTCTCAATTTCTCCAAGGATCTCGCCTCACAGATTACTCCAGTGTATCAATATACTTAACGCGGTCAGTGTCGGCCGAATTCGTGGCTTTAGATGACATGGGTACAGATGATACGTACAATAGACACCAGCCCGCACCAGCCTGACAACATGGCGTTCGCGAAGCATCATGGGTAATAAGCACGTGATGGAAAACTATCTATAGAAAATGGATCTATTATATTAACTGGATAGGGTATTACTAGCTTGTAGCTGAATAACTCACGTGCTCAGGGGATTCTCTCGGTACTGCAGACTGAACCAGACTAAATTCACGTGGGCTACCCAGAAATTTTCCCCATAGAACTCAATGCATATTAAAACAGCTCGACCTCAGCTGAAAGAGAACCTACAGCTTTAATAAAGATCGGATTTTGTGGGGATTTTAGTGTCCCTTGTCGTCCTGAACTTTTTTTCTTCTTAAATCCTTCGGTTTTGTTTAAATCCACACTTTAGTGCCACAAACTCTGCTCGTCTGGCTCTCGCTCTAACTCCCGCTCTGATGAACTGCTCTGATTGGTCAGAGCGCGGCCGAACCCCTCTGTGCACGTGCCGTGAGACCCGTGAGACCCACACACGCGTGTTTGGCGCAACGCATTATGGGAGATCATCCACTGCACAGAACCGGGAGGACCAGACGATGCCCAAATACAGGCGAGTTTCCCAGATCTTTGCGAGTTTCCCATAGATCTTTGCGAGTTTCAGGCAACTTCCGCTAATCTTTCAGCCCCCATGCTGTCACAAAGCGCCACTGAGCACAACCATTCATTTGAATAGGGCGCCATTTTGGATCGCCGGGGCTTGCTATACATAGTTCCCACAGACCAATGAATGTCACATGACCTCCTCGGAGACGCCATCTTTGATGGCACGCTGCTGTGTTTGTGCATTCCATTAAACAGAAGAATGAGAATAAATGTAGATATTCAAACGCAAATTGGAAAAAAAGGGCAACTTTTGAGCAAATAATTGTATATTAATACAATGGCACCACAGTTTAACGTGCTACGGACATGTTTTACATATTTGATCAAATTATGCAGCAAAAATTAACAAGCAATGCAAACATTTCTCAAAAACTTTGTATTTAATACCAGTTGGAGCTCCATTTAATTATTTTAATTATATTAACAATTAATTTAATTAATGCTAATGCCACACGGACACTCTGGATTGCTGTTATTGTTTATTTCCGCGTTTTTGACCGTATGTTTTGGTGAATGGTGGGCAACTGATTTTTCCAGGCGTAAAGAGCAGTTTATTTTATGACACAGATCTTTTTACAGAAGCAATGCTGTTTGTGAACATTGTTTTAGCCCACCATAGAACTATTATTATCTATTTAATACATTTACGTTGCCCTCGAGAGCCTCGGACGCGACACCGATCCTCCACGCACCTGACACAAAGTGCTCCGAGCATATTCTTGCGTGTTTTGAGGGAGTTTCTTGCCTGTTTATCTTCGCAAGCCATAACCTCCGTGGTTGTTCTGACAAAAGCTTAGTCTTCTCACATTCATGAAGTCTAATGATGGGTATACTGTAAAATCCAAGTTTAACGGAACCTCCGGCACGATTTGAACATCCATTGACCCAGCAGGAGATGACCATTTTCAACTTTATCACGACATTAACACGTTTCAGCTTCTTTTTCTATTGTTTTGCCCACAGAATGCCAACACAAATGGCGCCGGGTCGGCAAATCCCCGTATATAGTGACGTCATGTGGGAACTATGTATAGACCCTGCGCGTTGGTTCCTTTCCCTCAATAAAGGACTTTATATGAATCAGAGTGCCTCGGAGATTACTTTTCCACAGAAAGGGTATCTTTGCTAATGTATTTATATATTGTCCACCATTTTCTTCAATATTGATTTAAAGATTGTTAATCCTTACCAAAATCAAATATCAAGACGCTGAAGGACGAAGAGCAAATGAAATGACTTGAGATCCATAAAGTGTGTCAGTTTTACCTTTGTCACAGTTTAGTAATTGTCTTAAATGTGTTGATCTTTTAAATGAAGCTGGTATTTCTTCAGACACACACATTACCATTGTGTGTTCAGTGTTTTGTGTGAGCACCGAGAGCCCTCTTGTGGACAGACTCTGCCATTACAGTTTGTCCGTAAAACTATAAAGTACATAGTGTGTCCGATATTAGTGATTTGTATTGATTGATTGATTGATTGATTTTTTATTCATTCGAGCAGAAATTTTACAATCATAAGTATTTACAATATTTACATTCCTTAGATGATTCTTTATACATACATGTTGCCTGCTGTGCTTACAGTTTATACTTATACATAGAAATATATAAACAAACTATACAATCAAGCAACAATAGTTTCCCTAGTTACACCAGGTGTTATACATCGCAATATCAATACACAAATGAACCTCTATTTACAATTTGTCAGCTCGAAATGGAGTGGGAAGGAAGTAAAAACTTGTCGACTCCCACCCCATAAACATAATTCAAAAACATGCAAGAATGTTGTTATTTAGCATTGAATAAATAATACCTTAATAATAATTTCTCGTGTTCAGTGCGATTTAATACTTTTATAAAGTTACATCTGTAACAGTGATCACTGTGCCCCAGCAAGGCCCAGCGCCCCAACTCAGGCCAACTCCAGTCACAAGAAGCAGCCGCCACAGCAGTAGACCAATCATGCAGAGGAACAATAGTCCAACGCACAGCAGGCTCCAACTACACCATGAGCAACCACCTCACTGATCATTCATACCATTGTTTTATTCTTTCAAATGAAAAGGCATTTGATTAATTCTACAGTTTCTTTACCTTGGATAGAGCCGATTATCACCACCGTGACTGTCCTAGCTCCACCTTCAGGCAGAAGATACTTTCTTTAATTTTTGTTCTTTTACACATATATATATATATATATATTTTTTTTCATATTTTATTTTCAATTCATACTCTTTTGTATGTCCAAATGGATTCTAGACAGTGAGGTCATTCCTGATTGCGTGTCCACAGAACGCCACTATGACATGGGTCCACTGCCCCTCCACACCACCAGCCACCACCACAGAAACCACCTCCCGAGACACAGAACTAGCCTAAGAGACTGCGCCAATGCCCACCAAAGCAACACCAATCACTGCTGCACACGTATTTCTACATTTAGTACACCAATATATAAAATATTAAGTGTTCTCTATACAGAAATATAAACATACAAGCACATCTGTGAGTGTGATGCTGATTTGAATATTGTCAAATCCAGATCAATTTGTTTTGTTGGTGTCTTGCGCACCTAATGAATACTATAATTGAACAGTTTAACAGTATTCTTTACAATTGAGGTACCCAATAATTAAAATCCCCTATTTTAGTCTTTTATTTAATATAAATGTGTTTTTTCTACAATGACTCAAACATTGTTTTCTGTATTTATAGAGTACTGAATGTCCTACTAATTAGATTCTAACTTGTTTCACACCAACTACTGTACAAAGAACACAGCTGACCATGGGCCTGTGTAATACCTGTGAAAAAGAGTAGGTTAATCGGTGTAGAGTAGATTAGAGTAGAGTATAGAGTAGAGTAGAGTGCAGTAGAGTAGAGTACAGTAGAGTAGAGTACAATAGTATAGAGTACAATAGAGTAGAGTAGAGTAAAGTAGAGAAGAGTACGGAGTATAGAATAGAGCAGCCATTCCCAAACTCAGTAACACCGAGGCCCCCTTAAAAATCTGACGGGTCTGCGTGGCCCCCCAAAATAATAACCAAGAAGACAACATTAAGAATAGGCTCTTCTGGTTATTTTATTTTGGGGAAATAGCCTCTGCTACAAACATTGTAATACAAAAATGATTACAGTGGATTATTCAAGTCAAATAATGAACACAAATATTTTAATATTACAAACAAAAAAATATAAATTTAACATTAAATAATTATATTATTATTATTATATTTTTTTATGACCTCCCGCGGCCCCCCTGCAGTACCCTCGCGGCCCACCAGGGGGCCGCGGACCCCACTTTGGGAGACACTGGAATAGAGTATAGAGTAGAGTATAGAGTAGAGTAGAGTATAGAGTAGAAGTTTGTGTATTTGGTACAGTGTGTTTAAAGATGTGTCCACTGATAACTCTTTCGTGTGCATAAACCTTTTAGATCCATGGCATAAACTCATCAGTGACCTGGCGTCCTCACCAGCAGAGGGCGCTCGTCTCTCTCTCTCCTCACAAAGCCTCAGTCCCTGCCGGTCCCTGCCCCTCTGTTTCCGGGCTAATGCTGACGCGTCCCTCCGCTCTCCTCACTCCGACGTGTCAGTCCTCTTCCCCCCGCACAGAGCAGCACACAGGCCGCTCACAGCTCTCCCAACATGCCGCCCAAGAGCAGCGCCAAGCAGCAGTCGGAGGAAGACCTGCTCCTCCAGGACTTCAGCAGGAACCTGTCTGCCAAGTCCACGGCGCTTTTTTACGGGAACGCGCTCATCGTGTCAGCCATCCCCATCTGTGAGTGTGATGCTAACGGCTAAAAGCTAACCCCAACTCATTCATCTGTCCTTCTGTCATGGCAGAGACGTAAACGTGCAGATTTATTATGGAAATGTGCTTTACTTGTACCTCCGAGGCTTTTACGCACGGTTTTACGCACGGCTGCAGCGAGACGTAGAGATGGAAATGTCTGCTCTCTGGACTGGTTTGGTCATACTGTGTTTTATTCTAGCTCTGGTACGTCTCTGAAACGTGTAGAATCGGTGTTAAAGCTGTGCAGAGACTGGACAGTAATGGACATGCACCGGACTGACTGTGATCGTGCTTAAAAGGAGGACGTGGCATTGATCCTTATGAGTTGATATGGAACTAGGGGGACACATGGACGTCTCCAAACCACATCATTTGCCAACTACACTTGCTCATTTTGGCTTCGTGTTAACTCCATCTTCTGTCTTATGTCCAATTTGTCACAGAATCTTATTGAGATTACATAGTTTTGTCTGTATTTGACCCATTTGCGGTGTGATCGCTCATGCAAAGCTTACGTGGCATTGGGTAAGAACTGTGGGGACCACCTCATGTCTCTATAAGTGCTGAGTTTAATATGAATCTCAGTCCACATCATCTTTGTCTGTGGTTGTAGAATCATCGTTATTTTTGTGCAAGCTTTGATAACACCTTTTTCTCTAATAGGCCCAAAAATGACTTGATAGCCCCAAACTATTGTGACGTCACTTCATCTTTGACCTGTAGCGTGATCCATGTGTATTCCTCATTTGTGGCAGTATGTATTGATATGTGCGTGTTATGTGTAGGGTTGTCAAAATACTAGAACAGCATCAATAATAAAACTGGTATCAACTGATTCAGAAAGTCTTTGCTGAAAAAAGTCACATTCACAGGGCATGATGTGAGATTCTGTTTTGGAATAACTTTGTAACACCTTAAAGTGTTATAGAAAGTTAATATAATACTATGTTGTCTTTCATGTTAAGAATTGCAGCTCATTGTCTAATTTATTTTATTAGGTCATCATAGAACTGTGTATGGACTACAGTATAAGGCTGTAACTAGATACTTTATTGATCCCCACAGGAGACATGCAGGTGTCCAGTAGCAGCAGGAACGCATCCATACAAACAAAACAAATAAATAGATCATTCTAAAAATAGCTAACAATAGTATTAAAATGCAACCGCTCTTCGGGTCACAGCAGCAGAGGTGGAGCAGCCGCTGGGGTCGGACAATTTTCCCTGCTCTTGTCCAAAGTAAAATTCTGAATGTTTTTTCCAGCATCAAAAAGTTAGCCTTCCTCCAGTGGATTTGGATTTAAAGTCTGTGAATATGGGATTTCTATATATTTTGACCAAAACAAAGTTCAAGTGATGCCTCTGAGAAAACATCTTCATAGAGAGCACTTGTTACACATTACCTTTGATAAAAAAAAAGACATATTTTAATTTCATTCTGCAGTAGAACAATCTGATGCAATAAATGATTACGTAGTCAGTGGTTGTGGCGGTGCCAATGGGTTTAAGTCCATGTAAATCTCAAGTCTTTTACTAAATTGTTTCACATCAGTAATCGATCAGCTGTGCTCCCTCGATTAACATGTTCTAGGCTTAGAGTAAAGTCTGTTTTGTAGTATAAGATAAACTTTCTTGATCTCACAGTGGAGAAATGTACAAGTGCAGTTTTCGTATCAACACTAATAGTTCTAACATCCGCTTTGTCTGTGCACAGGGCTGTTCTGGAGGATCTGGCACATGGACCTGGTGCAGTCCGCGGTGCTGTACGCCGTCATGACCCTGGTCAGCACGTACCTGGTGGCCTTCGCCTACAAGAACGTCAAGTTTGTGCTTAAACACAAGTGAGTTCCGTACATTTCCAGTGTTGCAGACGGTTTTTCTCCTCGTCTGGTGTTTAGCCAACGGTCAAATCTCAATTGTGACTTCACAGAGTCGCCCAGAAACGTGAAGACGCAGTTTCCAAAGAGGTGACCAGGAAACTGTCCGAGGCCGACAACCGCAAGATGTCCCGCAAGGAGAAGGATGAGAGGTAACTTCCCCGACTGTTTTTCCTTTGACACGGGATGAGAATGATGTCTGCAGCCTCCAGCTAAGAACCATGCATGTTGTTGTAGCTAGCAGTGCTCTGATTGGCTGAGCTAAGAGTCCGAAGGAAGTAACATAAATCCATGTTAAGAATGTGTTATAGATTAATCATGGTGACTTGTATAGCGACTTCCTCCTTATATCTAGAGGGGTGCCCAAACTTTAGTTCAGCAGACTTGTCCAGGGGCTGATGACCTGTATTATAAAACCGTTTTGACCGGGTTCTGACGGAGCTGAAAGCAAAAAATTCTATTGCGCTTTAATGATTCGTGTCATGATCACAAATAGGTGTTGGTGCAGTCAAGTGGAAGAGGTTCTGAGCTTTACAATGAGGTGTAACATGTCTGTATTGGCAGAGATTAAGTTGGCTGGATGACACAGAATGTATGTTTATGTTTACAATGGCTACTTTTAGGTTGGTAAAGCAGAGGGACATGGAAAATGACACTGCAGGTCTTTAGGTTGGACTTTTATACTTAATTCTTGCTTCTTCATGTCACTAAAGCTGGATACTAAAGTGCTAAAGAGAGAGATTTTATTTAAGCATTCATTTAACTTGTGCTGTGTGCTCCTCATTAGAGTTTCGCTTTTCAGCCCGAGCCCGAGCAGGCCCGAGGCCCGACCTGAGTTCATTTTGGCGCTCAGCTGTCGGGTTCGTGCCGGGCTTGGGCTTCTTTTTTTAAAATATGTTTCTTTTTTATTATTATTATAATTATTTTTTAATGATTTTTATACAAAATGATATGCATATATATATATATATTAATAACAATGTCCGTTGATTGACAACAAGTTATTAAAAAAAGTGAATATATTAATGACACCGTAACCAGCGTGTCCTACAGCAGCAGGGAGCCGTGAACGCATCATCCCCGTGTCTCCTGCTGCTGTGGTCAACAGCGAACAGGAACAATAGTAGAAATGGATCAAGTGGAGACAAAACAAATTCAAAAGTGGAGACTAAACTTGCAATTGGAAGGTGAGTGCGTACAACGGGAAATCAGATGTGTCGGGTTCTGTCGGGCTCGGGCCTGTTATACAGCGTTCATTGGTCGGGCTTATACAGGCTCGGGCTTAACATTAGCGGGCTCAGGCCGGGTCAGGCTTCATTTTTCAGGCCCGAACGAAACTCTACTCCTCATTCCTACACTGACATTTAACCATCAATGCCTGATCGAGAAAAGTCTAAAATTCCGATTAAAGCGACCTGCTACGCTTTCACAATAGTTAATTTTAGATCACTTTCTGGACAGACGTTTTGTCCCGAGTCCCAAGTCTTCAGATTTCTACATGTCTGACTTGCGTAACGTGTGTGGTCCGTGTGTTTGTTCAGGATCCTGTGGAAGAAGAATGAAGTGGCCGACTACGAGGCCACCACCTTCTCCATCTTCTACAACAACACTCTGTTCCTGGTGCTGGTCATCGTGGCCTCGTTCTTCCTGCTCAAGAGCTTCAACCCCACCGTGTATCCTTCTGCTTCACCGCTCTGTGTCCACACGCCGTGGTTTCACCTGCAGGTTTTGGTCTCATGTTGCACTGTGGGACATTATACTTGAGTAAAGCTGATATTCTTGGGTTTCATATGACGTCAGGGCAGTGGCGGGAATAAAGAACGTAGGACAGGACGTGACGTATCCTGGCGGTGCAGTCTGCCGGGTTTATACACGGAGATATAGTAGAAGAAGAAGCGCTGTCAAAATGCCATCTTTTTGAGCGGTGTAAGCAACCGCACAAATAGAGAGAAAGAAAAGAGTTTCTTCTGTGTTCCAAATGTGGTCTCATATAGAGGACACAAAAATCCCTGGAATGAGGCGGGCGAGGTGGATCAAGGCTTTCCCAGATAAGCGCCCCCTGCAGGCCACCCAAATGAAACGCAGCAATTTATTCTGTTTTTCTTTCCAAAAATGCCCAAAATCAAGACTCTTTTGAGAAATATTTTTAGTACTCCCTCTCCGAGTCCCCCTCCCGATTAGGACTATTACAACAACCTTACACCGCACAGGAGGAGAGCCTTTGGACTCCAAAACGGACACGATTTACATGGTTTTCAATGGGAGCAAAACTGAGTTGTCCCACCTCTGCTGGCCAGTTTAATGAAACCCAAGAATATCTGGCATTTCTAATGTTATGGAGTCAGTCGTTTGCTCTGTTCACTGGTGGTTTTAGTGATGGGAGTTATAGATGGATAGATACTTTGATCCTTGTAGGACAAAGGCAGGAGTCCAGTAGCAGCAGAAACACATTCATCCATCCACAAAAACATAACAAAAAAGAATAATTCTAAAAGTAGCCTAACAATAGCTACTTTTGCAACAGCACTTATGGTCACAGTTGCTGGGTGGAGCAGGACCTGGTCACAGCAGCAGAGGTGCAGTGGCCCCTAGGTTCTGTAGCTGGGGATGCAACACTGACATTTCCCCACTGTTGGCATTTTCTCTGCTCTAGTCCCGAGTAGAATTCAGAATGTTTTATTAGCATTTTTCAAATAAATCAGTTTTCCTCCAGTGAATCCTCTCTGCTCTGGTCTGGATCAGTGTAAAACCATGAACCCCAAGGTAGCTGTGGCTAGTAGTAGTTTATCACCACCGTGTATGAGGTGAATGAATCTTTGAATGTCCTGAAAAGGGTTATATATAAAAGATTTCTTATCAGACCAGTATCCGACATCAGTGTTGTATCGGCGCATTCCTAAAGACATAAGAATTTGGCAGAAGTCACATGTGATTCTTTCCCGTGTTTGTTGATGATGTTTGGTTTTTTTATTTGGACTTGATCACCTCATTGGTCATAATAATGTGAAAAGATTACAAAGACCTTTTTTATGTTTGATTTTCTCTATAAAACCCTTTTAGAATGACTTTGTTACTAAAAGCTGCAGAGTTTCATGGCTGTATCTGTTTCAGCTGGTCTCGTGTTGAAATATGTATATTCTGAAGTCGGAGCCGTGAAAAAAAGTTGTACTTAAATAGATTTCATTGTTAACATCTGCAGACGGTGTTAAAGCAGAGTTAACGCTTCACTTTGATTTTATAAATGGTGTTAAAACCTGGTGCCAAAGCTTAAATAGATTAGATTAAATTGTTTTTTAAATCAAATATGGTTTGATGGATTTTAATGGTTTCTCTTCAAAATGGGACCTCACATTCTTCTGTCGACAAATGAAACCCCAATTAGGTGAAGTGACTGCAGGTCTGAGTTTTGAATTCTTCTTTGCGTGTTCTCCCTGTGTCTGTGTATGTTTCCTCCGGGTGCTCAAGTTTACCGTATCTCAAAACGCGCTACCTCCCCCCCCTTCTCTATGGGGCCAGGACTTCCCTGAAAAGGAGGCTCTGAAAACTCAATGGGACTTTGCTGGTTAATCAGAATCAAAATTATTTGTATTGCCATCGTGAGTAACAGGATGACACTTACGAGGAAATTGCTTTGTCTCTTAGTGCAAAACAAGTAACAAAAAAATAGAACAAGAATGCCATGTCATCATCGTCTGCCCCTTTATTAGTCCATTTCTGGGGCGGGGGGCGGGGCAATCAGAGCTGCTACCCAAGTCTCATAGCACCAGTCCCTCGCTGATCCTCTGCAGGTGGTAGAATAAACATGCATGAAAATAAAAATCTACAAACTTCTTAAAATAACTGCTAAAGTAATGAAATAACCAGTATAAATATAAATCGGTAAATGAAGATAAAATAAATGTGCTGTTGTCGTACTGTCTTCTTTTTGCCTTAACCTCGGTTCCTCCAGAAACTACATCCTGTCCATCACCGCCTCCTCAGGAATAGGCCCATGCATTTTAATAGGACTTCAGCTCTTTCAGCTGTTTCAATGTCGACAGTTTCGGATCCACAGTTTCAAGGACTTTCAGGAAATTTCAAAGTTTCAAGGATTTCAGCAGTTTCAAATTTCAAGAGTTTCAAGGACTTCAACAGTTTCAAGGACTTCAGCAGTTTCAAGGACTTCAGCAGTTTCAAGGACCCTTCAGCAGTTTCAAGGACTTCAGTGTAATCATGCAACCTAATAGGGATTTTTCCATGTAAACCAGTATAATGCAACTTAATAGGGATTTTTCCATGTAAACCAGTATAATGCAACTTAATAGGGTTTTTTCATGTAAACCAGTATAATGCAACTTAATAGGGTTTTTTTTCATGTAAACCAGTATAATGCAACTTAATGGGGATTTTTCCATGTAAACCAGTATAATGCAACTTAATAGGGGTTTTTACATGTAAACCAGTATAATGCAACTTAATAGGGTTTTTTCCATGTAAACCAGTATAATGCAACTTAATAGGGTTTTTTCCATGTAAACCAGTATAATGCAACTTAATAGGGTTTTTTCCATGTAAACCAGTACAATGCAACTTAATAGGGATTTTTCCATGTAAACCAGTATAATGCAACTTAATAGGGTTTTTTACATGTAAACCAGTATAATGCAACTTAATGGGGATTTTTCCATGTAAACCAGTATTATGCAACTTAATAGGGATTTTTCCATGTAAACCAGTATAATGCAACTTAATAGGGTTTTTTCATGTAAACCAGTATAATGCAACTTAATAGGGTTTTTTTTCATGTAAACCAGTATAATGCAACTTAATGGGGATTTTTCCATGTAAACCAGTATAATGCAACTTAATAGGGGTTTTTACATGTAAACCAGTATAATGCAACTTAATAGGGTTTTTTCCATGTAAACCAGTATAATGCAACTTAATAGGGTTTTTTCCATGTAAACCAGTATAATGCAACTTAATAGGGTTTTTTCCATGTAAACCAGTACAATGCAACTTAATAGGGATTTTTCCATGTAAACCAGTATAATGCAACTTAATAGGGTTTTTTACATGTAAACCAGTATAATGCAACTTAATGGGGATTTTTCCATGTAAACCAGTATTATGCAACTTAATAGGGATTTTTCCATGTAAACCAGTATAATGCAACTTAATAGGGATTTTTCCTTGTAAACCAGTATAATGCAACTTAATAGGGTTTTTTTCATGTAAACCAGTATAATGCAACTTAATGGGGATTTTTCCATGTAAACCAGTATTATGCAACTTAATAGGGATTTTTCCATGTAAACCAGTATAATGCAACTTAATAGGGTTTTTACATGTAAACCAGTATAATGGAACTTAATAGGGGTTTTTACATGTAAACCAGTATAATGGAACTTAATAGGGGTTTTTACATGTAAACCAGTATAATGCAACTTAATAAGGATTTTTACATGTAAACCACTATAATGTAACCTAATAGGGGTTTTTACATGTAAACCAGTATAAAGCAACTTAATAGGGATTTGTACATGTAAACCAGTATAATGCAACCTAATAGGGATTTTTCCATGTAAACCAGTATAATGCAACTTAATAGAGATTTTTCCATGTAAACCAGTATAATGCAACTTAATAGGGATTTTTCCATGTAAACCAGTATAATGCAACCTAATAGGGATTTTTCCATGTAAACCAGTATAATGCAACCTAATAGGGATTTTTCCATGTAAACCAGTATAATGCAACCTAATAGGTTGCATTATACCACCAGACCAAGACCCAAACGAAGACTCAGACCACCACCAGATAATGACCACAGACCAGGTTTCCTTAGTTACAGGAACCAAATTGTTTCAGCGGTGAGGGGATTTTTCAGTTTCAAGGACACTTTCAATACATTCAGTAGTTTCAAGGATTTCAACTGTTTAAGAATTTAACCAGTTTCAAGGATATCAGGAGGTTCAAGGATTTCAGGAGTTTCCACACTTTCAACAGTTTCCAGGTTTAAAAAAAGTTTCAAGGATTTCAGGAGTTTCAATGTTTCAACAGTTTCAAGGATTTCAGGAGTTTAAAGGTTTCAACAATTTCAAGGACTTCAGGAGTTTCAAATATCTATCAAGTATTTTAACAGTTTCAAGGCCTTTTAAAGGATTTCAAGGATTTTTTTTAGCAGATTTCCACATTAGATCTGTTCCGCAGTCAATCGCAATGGCTTCAGCCATTGCAAGTTTCTAGTTTCTTATTTTCATTTGTCAAATCTTCCGTAGTCCGTTTTAGTTTCGTTTCGTCACATCTTCCTTGATAGTTTTATTTTCTTTTTCGATCTTCTCCATAGTGGTATGTACAAAGTCCACTGACCTTCTTAGTTCCCCGACCTCTGTCTTCAATTCGTCCAGCACATCGAGTTTTTTAAGTTGTTTGAAAATGTTACGCAACATTTCACGATCCTCGCTTGTATAAGCAATGCTTTCTTCGGGATCACTCGATGAGAGTAAATCCCTACTCCGCTTCGAGTCCGGTTCGTTTGGCATTGTTCCAAAGGAAAAAAGGAAAAAAATTGCACGGCGTAAATTGCACACACGTGGGTCCTCGTCTCGCCGTTAGGTCCACTCAAAGGTGCCTTTTTTTACGCCACAGAGTTAACCAAAGGTTTATGCTTTTAGTTCAAGCTCACATTTAGAAGTGGAGCGTAATATATACACTTAAAATGGGATGGATTGGTGCAGAAGCTCAGCTCACGCTGCTCAGTGCGGCCATCTTGCAAGAATGGCCGCACTTTGTGATCTTCTGTGATCTTTGTCAACATCACAGAAGTACAAATCTGTAGTTTTATGTAGATTAAAATGTTAAGTATCAGTGACATGTCCATAAATCAGGAAGTGACATCTTTACTCTATCAAGTAAAGTACATAGAAAAGATGTTTCTTTGTGCGGTGACTGCAGGGTGTCAAGCGGAGGTGAGCGAACGGAGCTGCAGGCAAACTCTTTATCACAGTTCATGCACTGAGATGAGCACATGCGATGATGCTAATGTCAGCACCGCAGGCTGGAAATAGCAGAGCAAGGACTTTGTGAATGCGGTGTTTATTTTCAAAGAAAAAAAATAATCTGAAAGCTACGAGCGCTGGTTTGGTCACCCAAGAGTGAGAAATGTGCAGGGTATAAAAATATATTACAGGTAGATGTGTGAAAATCCAAAAGGTTGTTGCAAAAACTAGCAACCTTAAAGCCAGTGTAATGCAAGGCAAGTTTAACTGTATAGCACAGTTCAAATACAAGGCAACTCAAGGTGCTACACTAAAATTATTATTGTAATAAGTAACGGAACGTTTGAGTTAAAAATATGCACTATTGTTTGGTAGTTAGTTAGAAATGTTTATAATTCATTGTACTTATAATAATAATTGTACTTATGTGTTTATATGGATGTGATTTCTGCTGCTGGACACCGGAATTTATCCTACGAGAATCAATAAATTATCTATCTAAACGAGATGAGAAACATTCAAATCATAAATAATCAATAATTAATACAATTAAATAGTGTACATTCTATTGCTGTGATAGTGTAGTTTCGATTGCAGGCACAGCTTTGAGGCTTTTGTGTTGCAACACTGAACACTGTTGAGCACGTTCCAGAATGTCACACAGAGCTCACACATTTGAATGTCTTTAGAATCTATTATCAATGTCAGGTATTTATGTGGAAGGTGACCAGTGCCCTTTGTTTCACACACATAAATTACATTGGTTTGATACAAAAGATACACAGAGTGATCCGTCAGACTGTGCGAGTGTTATTTCACGTTAACACACTGAATAAAATAGAGAATCAGAATCCTTTTTATTGCCATTTAAGTGACACGAAGTCACAGACTCGGAGATTGCTTTGGCTCTTGGTAAAAACAAGTCAAGGGAAGAGAAGGAATAAGGCATACTAAAAGTATCTAAAGTATAACATTTTCTAAAATATAAGAAATCCAAAGGAAAATTATTGCGAATATTACTATATACAAGCTACTATTTCTTTCAAAAAGTACTGATCTTGTGAGCTTAAATTTACAATGCAAATATAAGCTGCATGAAGCTATATTACTGTCATAAGATTTTTTTTTCCATTATGTTTTCTTTGTAAATAAAAATAGAGAGGTCTAACCCAACAAGTGCTTAATTACCTAACCATGTTTCAGCTCACTGTATATAACAGTCTTCTCCGCAAAACCTTTCGAATCTATTCTCCATGACAACAGCATGGGACATTTCAAAGAAGCAGCTACTGAGATGAAATTAATCTATGGATTGTTGCATTCATTCAACACATGAGGGACGGACTGGATCATAATGGTAGATGCAGTCCATTGTGGAAAACAACAAAAGCAAAGGTTAGACCCATTATCGTCTTCCACAGCACAAAAGGTTTATTGTAAAGTCTGTATATTTTCCTATTACTTTGTTTTGTATCAGAAAAGTCACAGTGCATACCTGCTCCTCCCAAACTAAACATATTATTCCCCATCGCCTGTAAACCGCTAATGGAAGTGTATGCCTCTGTGCTTTTGTTTCCAGATCGATGCTTTGACTTCTCCTCCGGGACGTTTCCAAACAATTCCGTGCAGAGAATTGAGGCGGGCTTAGGTTTCCGTGGCCCCTAATCCCGTGCTCCTAATGGGAAGTAGAAAAGTGCTGAGTGAAAGAGGTTGGTGTACTGTTGCAAAGTGTAAGAGGGCAAGTGCAGACGTCTGATCTGCCTCCATCAGTGTCCAAAGTCGATCTCAGGAGCAGGACAGATGAGTAAACAACAGCCTGCCAGGTCCAGGCTCTTCTATCTGCAGGTAATTGCATTTGTTTCCCTTTGAATCCTCTGCAGCGTTGGGTTTTTTAGAGGTCACATGCTCCACACTACAGCCATTTGAAACACAAATTATCTTCAATGGAAAAGAGTTTGTATAACTTCTTTTGCAGTAGTAGAAGAAGTAATATGAGACAATGCAGCTATGTACAAACAACCTCCTCCTCCCCAAAAGGAATGCCACCGTTTACTGCAGGGGTGTCCAAACTATTTAGGAAGAGGGGCACTTGAGTTCACCAGACTTGCCCAGGCCCCGAAAACAGGGATTCTGAGTTATACCATTGGGTTTGATAAGTCCATATAGATTCACACCACAGCTATACTGGTGCTATGGTGTGACAATCATAAACAAATGTTGGTATATAGACAGAAAGTTAATGGCTGAATTCAAAAGGTTCACAACGAGGTAAAAGCATGACTATATTGGTGGAGCTGAAGTTGGCTGGATGACATCAACAAAGCAGAGGGCTCATAAAATGACACAGTGGGGCACATTTGGCTCGCGGGCCTTAGTTTGGACATACCTGGTGTACTGGGTAATGTAGTACATTTAATCCAGTATGAATGGGACTTCACAAGGATCCAATTCAATCAAATGTTAACCAAAAGCAACATGTAAAATCATGTAATACAAGATAAGAGATGTGAATATTAAAGAAGAGTGAATATTATCAAAGACTAACAGCTAACCATAAATACTGTATAACAATAGGATTATATGTCTCCATCTCCTGTCTCCATCAACTCTTCCAGCTGTGAAAATGTTCTGTGTTGAAGCTATGGAACTTGGCACATCTCTCCACATGTGTCACGTCGGTGTGATCACACCATATACTGGGCTCATGTTAACACGTTCACGGTGAAAACCCTAGCAGCATGTCACGCTTCTCTTTCATTGCTATTTGCAGGTTCACATGTAGTGTTAAGAAATGTTATGTGTATTATCATATTAATAAATGTGTGTAGATCTAGTCTAGTCAAGTTAACCAGCTAATGCATTAAGGGTGGCGAGAATGCAGAATTCTCCCAGCCCCCAGGCAAGAGTGAAAGAGCATAAGTAAACAAGAGCAGAGTAAACAAGCATGAAGCCAGAAAACATCTGTGTTGAGACAAGAAGACACTTCTGATGTATGAGAAGATTGTTTTCTCACATGTGTTTTAAATCCTTTGGTATAAGAGGCAAGGCCTAACTTTCAGCGTGGTCTGTCTTTTGTGCTTTGCCTGTCGTCTGCAGCAGACCCAGGCTTCTCTCTCTGCCTGTCTTTTATATGTATTCTGTTTACGTTGCTATTTCATATGCTGTGAATGACTTTTTAATAAGAATTATGTGTAGAAAATGTATGAAAATAATAAACATTCTACATACATTGGATAGAACAGAGAATACATACAAGAATATAAAGATTTAAAATGCTAAAACTGATATTAAATTGGACATTTCAATTGAACACATTAAGCAAAAATGTCCAAATAAAAGTGTAGCATGGCTGGCAGATGTCCCTTAGATGGCCCACACCTGTAATGTGGCCCAATCTGACCACAGTCTCCTCATAGTTATGAACAACCAAGTGAACTAGTGCAACCTCCATTCTCTTAAGTCTATGTCATACTTCACAGCAACAGCGGCCCCTAGTGTTGACACAGGGGGCTGACTGAGAGCCTCTGTCTCTTCTTCAGGCACACAAATATGCTTTAAAAGACCAACAACAACAGTTATGATACCAGTGCACAGCAAGGGATACAGTAATATTGGACCAGGAAGGCGAGGAAGGAGCGGGGTGGGGGGGTTGTGTCTGCAGATGTCAGATATAAATTTAAGGCCAACATTACACCATCTGCGAGTGCTGACAGCCCTATGCTTCAGGCCGTAGTTTTCTACTGCTCGGGCTGGGAATCTCTGGGGCTCTCACAATATGATACAATAATGGATATATGACTTACAATAAATAAAAAAAAATCAGAATATGGCGATACTGCGATTATTAATTTACTGCTTTTATAGTTGTCAATGATGCCATGATATGTCTCATCCGAAGATTTGTTTATTGGTTATTGCGTGGTTATTTTTCTTATTTAATTTTTTTATTACAGAAGTATATTTAACCAATGCCTCTTTGACTACTAATTATTGGTATCATTATTGGCCCTAAAATAAATCAATCCCTAATCAATTCTTATTTTAAATGTTTAATAGTGAAAGCAAATTACATGCAACTATCACCATTCCAGTTATACATTTAACAGCTTCATCTCTTCTTATTCTGTTTCAATTACTTGGCCACTAAACCTCTTTACTTTCTTAGCGATGTGAGCTCTTGATGGCTATAATCAAAATCATCTCTAGTCTTAGCACTGGGGAGATCTCAATCAGCCAATGTCTAAACACTGAGGTGATCTGTTTGTGTCTCCAGGTTGTTAGTGTTAGTGGCAGGTGTTTGGAAAGCCTCTCATTCATCAGTGGAAGCATTACAGCCCAGTTCCTCAAGTGCTCCTCAACACACTCAAAACAGAGCCAACAGAGAGAAAGGCAACTAGTGTCCTGAATGATGTACGATTCATTTGACTATATCATCTTGCACTTGAGCATATGATCAATGTATCAGATTCTAAAGCCCGCCCTGGAAACTGTCTAGCCCAAAACTAGACAAAAACAAAAGTAGGATTCTTCAAATGTTTTCAGGGCAAACAAGCTGCTAGTTGAATTCAAAAATCTATTCAATGTTAACGGTTCTATTTACAGACTCCAACAAGTGTGCTGTGAGATAGGATTTTAAGATTAACACAAAATGCATAAATATTTGGAATGTTTTGTATAAAAATTTTCTCCGGAAGCTTCACTCTGCATTAAATTTGAATCAAAATCAACAACTAATTAAAGGATAATATCTCAAATGTATTGGATTATCAAATTACTCATGGCCTGAGGGTGTCGGCTCTACATTGACTTGTGTGAGAAGGGCCTTGTTTCGAAAAGGACGTGGTATTGCATGTTTTATATATCGTTATGGCAGAAATGACTAAACATAGTGGGTGAATTGTAATGGTTAATAAATGGTTCAGAGGATTTTGTTTATAGCAGGAAGGTATTTGGGACAATGTTTGAGTAAGTTAAGATTCATTTATTTACTATATTGAATCTTAAATAAATGAGATTCAAT